CCCGCCCTTTCCAGCCGGCGACCCAACTTGATTTGCGCTGAGGTGCGAGCGGGCTAATCACCTCAGCCGCTGCAATCATAACGGCCAACCACCAGAGAGTACACGGCTCGCCAAGTAAACAAATCAAAATACCAAAAAGGAAAACCACGGTATTGACTGGTCAATTATTGTTTTTCAGTACATCCCGGGCTTTGCGCTGCAACAAACCCGTTGATCTACATTGGTTTAGTCCTCGTGCTTTCAATGCGGTTGCCTTGTCGATGGAGAAGGGAGTCGAGTGAGTCGGATACGTCGTGTTAGTCCAAACGTTTAGTCCATTCCTTCTTTCCATTCATGCAGTACGGCAGAATCTAAAGACGCCATGCAAAGAGTCCTAGGAGGAGAGAAAGACACAAGGTTAGCTCGCGCGCCGCCGGCCCCGGCCCGCTCACGACTCGGCCTCCAACTTCCTTTCGGCCCATAAAGAGAAATTGAAATAGGCCAGATGTCGCAAGCGGACCCAGTGCGCGGCGGCCAGCCACGCATAAACACACTTCAACATGACACAAACAATCATCTGCACATTCTCATAGAACCATTTGGATATTTGGATAAGGTCTCGTATTATATACTTCAGCAGTATTTGCAATGATACACCGAACACAACACAGTCACATGAGAAACCCCCACAGAGAAGCGAGAGAGAGAGCAAACACACATGTTAGAGACAGAACACCACGCTGCTCTCTCCAGGACACGAGGCTTGCTCCTCGAGGCGGGTCCATCTCCGGTCCCACCCGGAAGAAACGGTTCGTGAGTTCGCGGTACACGGCTGAGTAAATTTGCAACAACTTCCCAACAATCGTTAAACTTTGTTTTATAAAATTACTCACTCAATAGCGCATTTACGAACCGAGTTTTTGCGGGGCTAGCACACGGAGATGGTGCCTGAATGCACGGCCGCGTGCCGCAGGAGATGGCAGTGACCCAAAGGTTAGCACAAAATGATATGACATATGATACAAGCACATGGTACCACAAAATGAGCAAGAGATTTGTTTCAGATCCCCATGAAAGAACAACGCAATAGTTAGATCATGAAATAAGAACCAAAATGTTAATAACGGTACCATGCAGAGACCGCCCTCCTCCCGGCCTGCCGTCGCGGCCCCTAGTTTTGATTTAATATTCCCGCGCGGCGCGTGACAGTGCGCAGCAAAAGGAAGCGCTCCAATTCAATTAAAACCGCCATCTTGGGGTGCCACACTCAGCGAAAGATGGAGGGCAGAGACAGACAGAGTGAGAAAGAGGAAGACAAGAAACAGATGGAGGGGGAGAGAGGGGAAAAGTGGCTGAGAGAGAGAGAGTGAGAGGGTCGAGAGAAAGTTAGAGGAGTGAGAGAGAGAGAGAGAGAAACAGATAGAAGCAGGGTGATGTTGACACGGTTGGCACCGCGCTCGCCGCCTGCGGCAAAGACGCACCCCGGGAGGAGAGCGGTCGCAATCGAATCGAGATCAATCTTTATATTTGCCTGTCCCCGCCCCAACCCAGACCCAGAGCATTTGCGACGCGGACTGTACCTCGCAGGGAGGTGGTGCGCTGCGATACGATGGAACTATCTTGAACGTCACCGACCCGCGAGCTTCTCTCTGGAAAACAAGAGTGGCAGTTGGGAAATGAATTATCCAACTTCAACTAATAAGATGACACTAGTTAGTACACGAGAGGGGGCAGAACGACGCACCAAGATCTTCTGCAGCGTGCTGACAGACTGGTTGGCCACGGGCAGGCCGTTGATTTCTCGGATCTCGTCGCCGACGTGCAGCGTGGCCTGCCGGTGGATCATGCCCCCGTGCATGATCCTGGCCACGATGCACTTTCCATCCTCATTCATCTTGAGCGTGATACCCTGCGGCAGAGAGTCACACAATTACCACTCCGCAACAACATTGTCCACTCACTGCCAAAGAAACGACCGGGTCCGACACTCACCATAGGCTCGTCCGTGTTCTTCTGGAACTGCACGAGCCGGACCCTCGTGACGTTGTCCAGGGCCGGGTCGTCGCCGTCCTCGCCCTCCAGCTCATCGCCCTCGCCATTGAGGTAGGGCAGGTTCATGGGCGGCGGGGTGACCCGCACCGCATCCTCGCCGTACACCTCGTGCGCAGCCACATCGTGCGCCTGCAGCAGCGCCTGCGGACAGAGAGACAGAAGGGTGCGACGTCAGTAAAAGCCTTGGGCGTGGTCGTGGTGGTGAGCAGGGGGGCAGGCTGGCAGGCTGCTCCGGCTGTGCTCGGCGATGAGTGCCATTGAGTGCCTGAGTGCGCCCCAGCTTTGTGCAGGTCGTGTCGACGAGCGGCCCTCAGTGGGGGCTACTCTCGGTGGGTCCCTGCAGGGGTGGGGCGGCGACCCCACACACGCTGCACAGCACCTAGCGGCGCCCCTCCCAACCGACTGGCACGGCAAAGCAGCGGTGCACATCACCACCACGAAGCAGCATATGCAGCCTCGCCAGCCCTGCCGCCAGGATTGGCATAGAAATTCGGTCAAATAATATTGCACTTCGACTGCGAATTTTGCAGTCGTGTTTTGTAGTCGGAAGTGTCCCCAGTTGCATTAAGCTAAGCTCTAACCCTGCCTGCCGCGATCTCTGTCGGGAGGGACACTGGACAGGCAGATGGGCGGACGGCTTTGCCGACCGACAGACTATAGCGCCGCGTTTGAACAGAGGCTGCCGGGCATGACGGTCCGTCAATCCGACTGATTTAGCCAATTGCACCCGAGCTCCAGATAGCAGGACGCATCGGGGTGTTACGCCGCCGCCAGACCCGAGGGGGGCGGTCAGCGGCGCGGCAAGAGAGCAACCCCGGAATCGGACCACCACCGTCGGGGAGGAGGGTGGAGGAGGAGGAGGGGAGAGAACGAGTGAGCGCAGCGAGGGCACGCCAGGGAAAGGGGCCTTGTTCCGTTCCGGGCGGCCGCCAGATTGGAGGCGGCGACCTCAGAGAACAACACACCCGAGTTGGGTAGCGGCCGGGCCGCCTGGGCGGCCGGGGCAGCGCAGGGGGGCCAAACTTTAACGACAGTTTGGTTGTCGCGCGCGCCGGGGCGTTGCTGTGTGCCTCACAAAGTGATTAATTCACAAAACAGAGAGAGAGAGAGAGAGAGAGAGAGAGAGAGAGAGAGAGAGAGCGGCGGGTAGCGCCGGCCGGGACCCGGGGCTGTCCGACGGCCGGCTATGGCCTGACTTTTTAACAACGTTTGCAATTCCATGACGCGTAAAGGTGCAGCGGGGTGACAACAGAGGACGCCAGCACAGCACAGGCGGCGGCGGCCTTTGGGCGGACCGGACCTGCCAATTAAACTAGTTTACAGCGCTGCCGGACGAGACCTGGACCTCTCCGGCATGTGCGGTGAGGTCGGCAACAGGATGAGAGGGCTGCGACAAGTAGTGCACGGAGGGAGCCGAGCTGGACCGCCCAGCCTGCACCTCGCTCACACACTAGACGCACCCTCGACATGCACCTCGCTCACACCCGACACCAGACCCACACTCAGTGTGCGCGGTGTTACGTTCGCACCACCGCGTTCTCACCCCCCGCCGCAATCTCCTTTACACACGTGATTCAGCCGTGGGAGTCGGCTCCAGCGGCTCTAGGTGTGCTACCCGGGGCTCGAGGTGTGGCGAGGTAGGGCGGGGCGTGGCGCTCAGAGCCCGGGAAGGCCCCCGCGGCGCCACGCTCCCCGTTTGTTTGCAGGGAGGAGAGGATGCCAGCGCTGGCGAAATCATTCCATTCCAGGCCCCGCTTCCTATATTATAGGAGGGAGGGGGGAGGGGGAGGAGGCAGGCTCCATTGGGGTCAGGCCGGCGGCGCGGCATTCCACAGCGAGCGATATAGCATAAGCCAGTCGCCAGTCATATTTCACCGGCGGCGCGATCCCGACCGCCTCCCCTACTCCCACCTCCACCACCCCGGGGGGCCGGGGCGCACGGCGGACTTGCCCCCGAGGGGCGTGCGGTCCCGACCCGCCCCCAACACCGCCGCTCCCGCACCACAACATGCCAAACGAGGCGCGACAGCCGCGTACTGCAACAAGGGTGCGCCCGGGACAGAATGGACGGGGCCGGCGCAGTCGGGCGTGAGGCCGCCTGCCGATGGAACGGGCGGCCTCCACCGGTGGGGAGGGCGGCGGCCCTAACGAGATGGAGGCCACGGCAGGGGAGGTTATAGAAAGCCAAGAAAGCTTTTTACAAAAGCTTGTGCCGTTGGCGGGCAGACAGGCGGCGCTCGACGCAAACGCAGCGCAGCGAGACCAGAGACTAGGGTCGCTCATGTTTCCATGGGCGCGCCCGCGGCCCTTCGCCGCTCTCCCCCGCAGGAGATTAAACAAGCCAATCTCGTGGTCGGAACCATTTTCTCCTGCCCGTCCTCCCCGCATCTCCCGCTCTCCGGCGTTGCGGGGCGAGAAGGACGGGACGGGGAAAGGAAGAGGGAGACAGACGGAGGGAGAGAGAGAGAGAGGAGAGTAATCGGCTCTGATTGGCAGGCAAATGCAATCACTGGCGAAGCACTCTGAGTGTGTGTTTGTGTGTGTGTGTGAAAGAGAGAGAGAGATAGAGAGAGAGAGAGAGAGAGAGAGAGATAGAGAGAGAGAGACGGTGAGAGTGAGGGAGGGAGAGAGGGAGAGTGCGCGTGAGTCATGTGATCGTGTGTGTGAGAGTGTACGCATGCTATGTGGGTTTGCGCGGCCGAGATGAGGTTCAGACCGCTGCGCGTCTGCTCCCACAAATTACTGCGCTGGCCTGGCCGCGGTGAGGGTGGTCGGAAGGGGAGGGGCACCGGTGCACAACGCAGCACAAGCGGCACAGGCAGGCAGCCCTCTGTGTGGCGAGGACGCGCGTGTGTACGCCTTGATGGAAGGACTATACGTGCGCCGCAAACTACTACCACTGCAACACCGCATTCCCAGGTCTTCTTCCCCCGTATTGCGGCGGGCAGTGGCAGCAGCAGCGGCGGCAAAGGGGACGGGGATTCTTATCCTCCCGCGAAAGCGAATCTCTGTCGCGGGCGCAGGGAACAATAAGAAAGCAACGGCAGCAGCAGCCCCTTCGGAGAAATATAATCACAGCCCTGGCCTGCTCCGCCGCGGCGGTAAGGCCCGGAGCGCGGGGCTGGCGGGCGCGGGGGCGAACAGCAAGTCCCGCCGGGCGTGTCAGGCGCGCGCGCCGTGCATCGGCAGCGAGGCGGCCAGCCGCGCGCCGCTATGAGTTACGGTCGCCCCTCGCGGGAATCGCATAAAGCACAGGCACGGCCGCCCCGCCCCGCCCCGTTATACCCGCGGCCACGACTGCCTCTTGGGGATGATCCGACCGGATGGCTGCGCAGCACGGCGGCGGCACCACCCTCTCCCTCTCCCTCACCACCACCACCTCCCCGCCGTCCAGGCGCTGCTGCTGCGCTGCTAGACGGAACGACGGCATCTGCTGCTCGCCGGTCGCGCAGGCACCATGAATCATGTAACGGCCCAGGGCGATATCCGCCGCGGCGGGGCGGGGCGGGGCGTCACGGCAGAGGAGCGCCCCGCAGGAGCTCTCCCAGGGGGCTGCCACAGGAATGGATGTGTCTGCGCGTGTCGATACTCGGCGCATGTGTGTTTGTGTGATGTGTCGGGTCGGGGCGGCGGCGGCCGCAGGCAAACGGCGGCGTATAACTCGGCTCAAACCCGACGGCGGCGGCGAGAGTATCGACGGACATATCAATTCTTGTGGGGGGTGCCGTGCAAACGCTCCCCGCACCGGCGCGGCGTGTGTGAGAAATACGGCGCGCGGGAGGAAAGATGGCGCGCATAAAGAAGAGGTCCCCCCACCCTCCACCCCGGGGGGCAGCCAGCCGTATTCATCTGCAGTGGCAGCAGCAGCAGCAGCAGAAGCGTTGCTGCAGCCGGCAAGCAGCCGCCGCGCCCCGTACGCAACAGCTGCTGCTCATTCCGCAGGCAATTCTAATTCCAGCTGCCGATGCCCGGCCCGGCCCCGCTCGGCTCTCCCTTTCAATGCGCGTGGGTAGAATTGAATAACGGGCGCCAATGGGACGGACGGCGGGGCGAAGGAGGGCCTAAAGGGATTGGGGCCGGGAGAGACGGGTCGGGGCGGAACGCGCGTCCGGCCGTCGAACCAACTTGCGCAGCAGAGGGGTTCCGCGAACCCGGTCGTACTACCATCTCGTGCGTCAGCAACGCCCTGCTCGCTCGACCGGTTTGGGTATAGGTAGGGCCTCAATCTGACGAACCCAGCATTTATCCGCACACTCTAAGACCCTTACAAACAGCAGCCTTTATACTACGAAGGATTAGGTGGTTTGTAACGTACAAAAAATCTGGAACCACCACATGACGAACGCATTTTATTCGTATTACCGGGCACCGGTTCGTCAACAGACACATGCCCTTCGTAGTACAAAGGATTTGTTTGTATAACGAAGGTGGCAAATCATATGTACGTTACAAAGGGCAGGTCTTTGTAAGACACTTACAGTGCATTCGTCCCTAACATGTCCGTGTATAACACGCTCCCCTGCAGATCTCTCTCTCTCTCTCTGTCTCGCTCTCTCTCTCTCTGTCTGTCTATCTGTCTGTCTTTCTCTATCTCCATTTTTACGAGAATTCGTTGACCGTGTGTTCTGTCGTACCCAGAGGGTCGCCGGACCTGTAGCTCTGTGGACCATAGACCAGCGGCACCACTGGGGGGGTCCCAAGGGAGGACCCGTCACCGTCAAGCCGGGCCAAAGCCAAGCGCGAAAAAAGACAAAACGAAAAAAAAAGAGACACGAAATGACGAAGTACGAAACAAGCAGTGGTGCGAGCCCTATGTCGTCCATGAGTCGTGCTTGACTTCAAAATACTGGTAGTTAAAATTGACGGGATTTTAGGTCAGCGTCCATGGGGCTGCCAGAGGGGCACAAAGGGAAGGTCATGTAAAGGGAACAAGGGATGTTTCCCTTGTTGTTTTATTTCGGCTTTGTAAAGCAGAGCAAAAGTTCTCTCAATCTTTCTCATTTTTTTGCTGCGCCGCTCTCCCTCTCTTCCCTTCTCTGTGCCCTTCTCCCGTACCGTAATAAACACAACGAAACAACATTTCCTAGCAGTATAGTACCCAACTAGTACATGCCGTGCCCACCCCTCCTCAGTCTCCAGCCTCGGCACAG